GGGGGGGGAGGCTGCATTATCAATCGTTCAAAAGGATTATGAAGTTACGCCGATTCTAATCTAAGATGTTTTCGTGATTTGTAAATCGTTCCACAAGATTAAACAAAACGGTGGTAGTTTTTTGTGGATTTGTGTTTTTTGTGTTTTGTTTGTTTGTTTGTTTTGGGTTTTTATTTTGCTTTTTGTTGTTGTTTTGTGTGGGGGTTTTTTGGTGTAAATTATGAAACTTTGATCTGTGTTCTACTGGTGTTGTGTAGATCTAGTGAAAAAACCCCCATCGTTCTTGATTGCGGTGGGTAGGCTACATGGAAATCTGAAGATGAACGTTTCTTCGTGTTTTTCTTCCCCAAATCTAGAGAAATTCCTGGCGCTCATATGACCTTATGCAGTTGCGAGCGCCGTAAAACCTCTACTAAAACTTTCTGAAACTACTAAAACTAAAAGAAATCCTTGTGTATCGGCGCGGCGCGCTGTCAGGTCTGGCTGTTGTGGTATGGTAGCGAGTGAAGAAATCCAAACGTCCCATTACACTTTACACCGAGTTAGTCGATCGTTGCGCTATAGCTGGAGGCTTACGTTTACTGTCAGTTCACGACAGGAGGTCAACTTGGAGAATGTGTCACGGCACAGTGGAATCAGGCGCTCGACCATTTTGGGGGCATACTATAGAGTTATTGGTAAATGTAGCACCCTAAAGCGTGTTCATTTGTCCTGCTTTTGATGAAAAAAAAATAAACCCTGCCATCTGTCTTGAACAGAAATGAATATATCAGCGATTGAAGGAGGAAGGGGTCGCACGCAGTCAGAGGTAAAATTGGCGAGAACATGGCAATCAAAGTTTGGTGAATTCCATAAAGCTTGAGTGTCCTCGGAAACGGCAAATTTACATATATATGTGAGGCAGCGTGGTGGAATCAGGCTCTCGTCATAATAATCAAAGTGAAGAAACTTGCATTTTTCCACAGGTTTGTGAATTTTTTTTCAAATTTTTGTTTTTTGACTCAACATCTTTCATGCCCATTAAAGAACTCGTTTCTGTATGGCTTTTTCTGAAAACGTTGATTAAAGGCACAAAAAATGTAAATTTTCAGCTACCAAGGAATCTTAAGCAAAAGAAATATCTTATCTTTTGCGGCCATTTTCTCACTAATTTTACCCCTGAAAACAGGTGACCCCCATCCCCTTCATTCTCAAATATTACGACTTGTATTCAAGATAAATGGATATTTTTTTCACCCAAATAAAGACATATGAACAAGCTTTAAGATTATACAAATAACTCTACATGCCCAAATATTGACGACAGCCTGATTCCACCACGCTGCCTCACATATTTTGTGGCTTTGTTCAACGCTAATCAGAAAAATCCACTCATGAATTTTGATATCTTTTTAAATTGCTATAAAACGTGTCGGGAATCAAAAACTACAACAACAAATATATATATTTAAAACAAACAAACAAACAAAAAACCCAACCAAACAAACAAAAATCGTTAAAAATTGTTCAACTGGGGGAGAATCGATGTCGATTTCTTCGATTTCATTATTTTGACGAGCGCCTGACTTCACCACAATGCGTCACATATTACATTGTATACTGGACAAGGGGTAAGTGAGTTGTCTCCCTGTCAAGACCAGTGGTCCGGCCGTTTGAGGCAAATCCGTGCCTAACACCTGTTGCTTGTGTCCCTCCGGGCACCTGTGTGGAGAGAGAGTGGGAGAGAGGGAGAGAGAGAGAGAAAGAGAGAGAGAGAGAGAGTGGGAGAGAGAGTGGAAGAGAGAGAGAGTGGGAGAGATCGAGAGAGAGTGGGAGAGAGACAGAGAGAGACCGAGAGGGAGAGATCGAGAGAGAGCGAAAGACACACACACACAGAGAAAAAGGCAGACAGATAT